AAGCATTTCTAAGAAACCAATTAATTAATTTATTTCTTATGCAACATTGTAATGTTGAGCCCATAAGGCAGAGATCTTCATCTGTTGTTTACTGATGAATCCCGAGTGCTTAGAATAGTGCCTGGTACATAACAGATGCTCAATATATATTTCCTAAATGAATGAATGAATGAATATGTAGAAGATGGCTGAGGATGAGCCTTGAGGAACACTGGTAGAAGAAAAGGATCCAGGGAAAGAATGGAGTATTGGACATCTCTTTTGTCCTTCTTCATATTCTATATGCACATTTTCTTAATTCTGTCAAGAGGACTCCTACCAAAAAGAAGTCCTGTGTCCCACAGTCATGAGTTCCCTGGTCAAGAGTTGCACCCTTGGATTGGCCTTGCCTTCTTCCATATTTTTGCCTTTCCAACTCCCCGCCATCTTCCTTGGAATGTTTTTCCAAAGTTAATCACAGAGCACAAGTTATTGTTTCATCACCTGTTTTGGGGGAGCAGGGGAAACTATGTTAAAATGAGATGATCACTTAAAAATGAACCCATAGAAATCAAGAAAGTATTGATGAACAACACTTTCAATTCCTACGGAGCTCCAGCAGGATGACGAAGTTTGGAGACCACTATTAGATAGTTCTAATAGTGGAGGTCGGTGGGGAAGCAATATAAAAATGGGTTACAGAGCACAGGAAAGGAAGGAAATGGAGAATGGACAGACTGGGTGGGGTGCTAGCTGGATGGATATACAGAGAACAGTGGGAAAAGACAGATATTTCAAGAAACAAATAACAATCAAATGGGATAAGTGCTATGAAAAAAAATGCCAATACAGGGATGTGTGTGCCATATTTGCTGGGGAAAAATACACAGGAAGGCAATTTTTAAGGATAGCTTTGCCCAGTAGAAAGGTTGCAGGTAAACTCCAGGAAACAGCTTTTGCAAACCCACTAAGTTCTGAAAGAGCAGAGAATGAGGAACTTTCTTTTGCTAGTAACATTTAAGCAATGGAATGAAGAAGTAGTGGCGTTATTACCCTCAGTACCTCCTAATTCTTAGTCCGTAATCAAATTGATCCAACTGTCTCAAAATATATGTTTTTATAGTTGGTTTGGCTTAAATCAGAATCCAAACAAGATCAATATGTTATATCTGGTTGTTAAGTCTCTTAAGTCTTTATAATCTAGAAAAGTAACTTCCTCACTTTTTTCCCCATGACATTTACTTGTTGCAAAATTGAATTCAAACACTTAAAGTCTGACTGCTGAATAGTGAGAAATGTTGATTATATAATTTTGGATTTGGGGGACTGAGTTTTTTTGTTTTTTTTTTCTACGCAAACATGGTTATTCTCAGCAAATGATCTTTGGATCCTAGGAAAAGAGGACTTATTATAGGTTGGGACAATAAATGTTAACTCTTTTATTGCCCCCTCAATCCAATAGCTGCAAGATGTGTTCATGAGGGAAAAGGTGAATTTCACTATCAACGAGGGAATCCATATCTGCCCTAAACCAGCTGCATCTGTGTGCTGAACAAGCATTTCTTTGTTTGTCAAGAACTTGAAGCTATTTGGCACTAAATTCTCCAAGGCATGGAGTTCCATGCTTTTGTCAGAATTCTGTATAATGCACTCAAGATGACTCCGTTGACTGGAGGGGCAGGTGGCGCAGAAGACCAGGAGAAAGTGGTAGATAATGAGGGAAATGAGCTCAATAGCTTTTATCTCATATTTTGCCACAAATAATGAAGGGGAGGATTGCTCTATGCAAATAATAAGGAGCATGAACCCTCAGTCCTGGAGGATCTCTTGTACTGAATGGCATGCGGACAGTACAAACTTTCTCTGCCAGTCTGGCAAATAAGCCTACTATGTGACGTTCTTAGGAAAACTTAAAGACAACTAGAGGTAGATATTTCAGACCATCAGAAGCTAAACTGGAAGCTTATTATTCCTGCTCCTGCAGCCAGCCCATTCACAACCCACTGTGTAGCAGCCACCAGTACAGACAGCATGCCAGTGTCCTGGATGTTCCTCCCAGGTGAAGGCACCTTGATCAAACCCAGGCCATTCTCATTTCCCAAAGCAAACACTCCCCTGAGTCTTCTGACTGTATCATATCAGCTTAAATTTGCATTCAGATAGCAGAGACCAGAAATGCCAGTGGCTTTAAATAGATAAAAATGTGTTTTTCTTTTTCTATGTAAAATAATTCTGAATTAGATATTCAGGGCAGATAGGGTAGCTTCAGAGTGCCATTAGAGAACTAGCTTTCTTCTGTCTTCCTGTTATTTATAAGCCAGGGGTTTTCAGCAATAAAAGTCCAGAAATTTCTGGACTTTCTCTTTCCTCTTTCACTTATACTTGCAAACAAGCCAATTATTTTTCTGAGATCACCTCTTTATTGTAAAATTCAGCCAATAGCACCAAGTGCGGATAGGAATATTCTAATTTCCAACTTATTTACCTAAGGCCCCAAGCTCATTTGGCTCATTCTCTGCCCTCTGAATGATTGCTGACAAGAGTTTTATGAAATGTTTTACTACCACATAAATTGCATGCCATTTTTGTGGCCTCTATATCAGTTTCCTTGACATTCTCTGACCAAATACAGAATCAATGTTACATGTTTATTTGTTTGCTTGTTTTACCCTTCATGACTTCCTTCTAGATACAAAGATTATTTGTCAAGATAGACTAGCAATGCTGCTGTAATAAACAACCTCAAAGATTCTGGGGCTTAAAAATCACAAATGTTATTTCTTTCTCATTCTACACCATGCTGAGGCAGAGCTACATAATTTTTTCATCTTAGGACCCAGTCTAAATGAGCAATTCCCATCCAGGATGCTGTTAAGTACTAGGTAGGAGAAAAAAAGAAAATGTGATGGCTTTTTGCTAGCAAATCAAATGCATCACTTCTGCTCTCATTTCATTAGCCGAATTCTCATGTCCATGGAATAGACAAATACAATACTTTCATAGGGAGCAAGGCCATATGCAACACAGCTGAGCTTAAAGTCAATGAGGCAGGATGTACAGCTGGTCCTCTGTATCTATGAGGTCCGCATCTGAGTATTCAACCAACCACAGACCAAAAATATTTTTTAAAAAAACAATAATAAAAATAATATAACAATAAAATACAAATTTAAAAACAATACAGTGTAACTATTTATATAGCATTTAAGTTGTATTAGGTATTATTAGTGATCTAGAGATTATTAATAAAAAAACAGAAGGATATGCATAGATTATAAGCAAATCCTATGCCATTTGATATAAAAAACTTGGGCATCCTCAGATTTGGGTATCTGTAGGGGATCCTGCAAGCAAGCCCTCACAGATACTTAGGAACAACTATATAATCCTTTCACATGCATGGTAGAGCAGATGAAGAGTCCACGGTGAGCAATCTCTTATCGTTTATTAATCCAGTACAGCTCAGCCTCACATACAGCTGCCAGCATGGAGCCTTCCCTGTGCATGTCGATGACAGGCTCATAACGTGTTAATGCCCACTCCGCCATTCCCGCAGGTGGCCCTCAATCAATAATACTCCAGCTCCCTCCTCTCTTAGAGTAACTCTGAGGTGCATGGTTTACACTGGATTGAGCTCCACTTGCTCTCTGTGGTAATTTGGTTTATTTCATATTCTTTGTTGGCATTTGTTCTGTTTCTATCTTGTTTTTCATTCCCATATTGTTTCTTGTGATCATTTCCTAAATAAACTACTTACATCTGAATCCTTGTTTACTTCTGGGGAAACTTACACTAAGGTAGAGGATTAGAATATATGTAGAGCAATGATACAATCTTTCATAAGAGAAAAATGGCTTTTTGCAATAATTAGCAGTCTGTGCCAGAAATTCCATCACAAGAATCCACTCATCTTCTCCATGCTTCTGTCCTCAAATCTATTCATCTCTTGGTCAGACCAGAAACATTGTTTCCCAGAAGAGATAAGGACTCCTGTAATAGATTATTTGCTTTCACTTATAGACCACAGGAAGCAAGGACAGTCAATTACTCTAAATGGTCTTTACCATCCTGCCTTTCATAGAACCTCAGGCATGTTTGCACATGGATGCTCCCTTCCCCAAAGTACTGGTGCTGTCCATGCCACATGGGGATGTGTGAGAGCAGACAGGTGCATCGAAGTCCATTTCTGTGACTCCCTCCATGACTCCCCTGCCATATCACCAAAGCTCACCTGTCTATGGAAACCACTTTGTCTATGATATCCTGCATTAGACAAGCCTCACATATGTGCAAAGCATTTTATGCACATATGCACATACACAAGCTAAAGCAGAGACATAATAATTTAGTTTTCATTTTTTCTTTTTAGGAGAAAAAGAAAGGGATCAAAAAAAATCTCTGCTAATTCTTTTTTATTCTCTCTGTCCCACTCATACAAACACATACATGCCAAGGAATCAGTTTGATACTCACCATTCCACCACGTGAAATACTCTGTGATAAATAAGTGTGATAGCTCACAATGTAGTATCATGTTTTTTATAAGACAATACAAAATACAATGGAATTTCATCCTTATGCTATAAAGTATTTTCTTCTCTTTAGGAAGAAAATAAATATAAAGAGATTTTTAAAAAGAAAACAATAACAAAAGCAGAAAATTCCCATTCAGTTTCATCCAGAAACCAGGATTTGTTTATCAAGTGTTTTAAAATCCATTAATTTAAAATGATTGATGTGACCTATACTTGCCTTACCATTGAATAAGGATAAGATCATAGGAACTATGACATAGAGAGAAGAAAGCCTATGCTAACTGTGATCACTACATAAAAGCCCAAAATGTTGCAGCTGTAACAACCTGGAGAGGGCTAGAGTACTCTTATTTTCTAATTAAAAGACACATACTTCTACATCTAAAGGAAAAAAGCTTTAATTTTTTGTGCATTTGTCAAAATTTCAATTGTCTTACATTTTTGCCTATTTGTATACTAAGTATCTTCTGTGCTGTCGTCATCTAGATGGCTGCAGGGGAGAGGTCTTTCACGGAGAGCCACCCAAGATGCCAATGCTGATCCAACCTTAAGTCTTCAGGCACTGGTCCCTGCACACGGAAGGAGAGGAGTGTGATGATTCATGGTCCTCCAGTCCAGAACAAGCTTGGGAGAGCCGGTACTTCCATTTGCATACAACCCTGATGAAGCCAGAAGCTCATTATTATTTCCTTGGAGACAGGTCCTCAGAGGAAAAAGTTGAAAGAGTTTGCAAGCAAGGGGTATTTCTGGATGACACAGAGCACTAAAGCTGACAGAATCTAGACATTAAAAACTACCACATCTCCTACACTAGGAACATCAGACTAGGAATGTAAGAGAAGTAAAATTAACAATAAAAAAAAAATGGATGGTTTTGGCATAAGATTGCCAACATTTAAATTTTACCAAGAAATAACAGTGGAAAAAAAAAAAACTACAAACAAATACTACTTACTAGTACCATCGTTTTAAAAAAGAAGGACATGTGAATCCCTCTCTCAAATGACTCCATATTGGTTTATTAAAAATGATCAGTATGTTCCTTACTGTCCTCTAGATCGAAATCCGCAGACTGGTGAACCCTATGCTGGATGCACCCCTGGCAGAGACTGGCACTAGGGAACCCATTGGAGAGCCGTTGGCTCCTCACAGGGTTTTTGATGAGCTTCAGAGGGCATGCACTTCAGCCCAAAGCCTCAGGTTGGTATACCTGAACTGCACTCAATTTGTAAGTAGCTAAGTTATTTGGCAATGAATTTCCCTGGTAGATTTATAAGAATCCATGTTCTATGTAGATTAAAGGACTCTTAAGGAACACGTTGATTTACTGCAATGTTTGAGTCTTATTTGGATCTCAATTAATACAAACACCATTAAAAAGGAAAAAGACTACATTTATGAGAAAACTGAAAAGTTGAATACTAGGTGAATATTAATTTTAGATTATTTACAAATTTTATGGTTGTACTAAAAATCTCATTGTTTATAAGTACATCTTAAATATGAATGAAGTGACATGATGTCTAAATATGCTTCAAAGTAATTGAGGAGGACATATGAGATGCAAAAAACATTGTCTTTTAGTTGATTATTGTTAAGCTGTGTTGATGGGATGGTTACATGGGGGTTCATTATACAAGTCTTTCTACTTTTGTATACATTTAAAATTTTCTATAATAAAAAGTTTAACAATGTATAAGGAAAAAAAAAAGAATCCATGTTCTAAGGCCAAAAATGCCTCCCATCATATAATTCTTGAATTATCTATCCATAGGTCTACACATGGATGTACAACAATGAATGAAAACAAATTCAGTGGTCAAAAGGTTTTGCTTTACACAATTGTAACAATGTAGATGAATTTTTTGGTCCACATTTCTTATAGTGCCTCTCTCTTTCTAAGCAGAACATATATTTAAAATACAGCAAATCTTTGCTCTATTAGAAGAACTTGAGCCAAAGATGAGGTGAGAAGAATTGCTATTTGGTAAAGCACCTTTCTTCAGGACAATGTGATGTGTATCATCAGCTCAGTTTAATAAATCTGGCATGGGAACTAAAGTTAAAGACTGAAAATAGGTTTTTATCTGGAAACAAGGGATTTTGCTGACTCTTTCCACGAGGATAAGTTTTTGTTTTTGTCATTGAAGAAAATGTCGATATTTTAAAATAATATACACTAAAGTATGTGGTAGGGAAGCAACAGGAGGTCTAGAATTGGCATTAATATACTTCAGCAATATAAACTAATTAAATAAGAAGAGAGAAGAAGAAATGTGGTAAGTATGGCAAAATCTCAAAAATTGTTGAAGTGAGGTAATGGAGAAGCAAGAATTCATTGTATTATACTAATTTTAAAAACATATGAAATATGTTCATAGCAAATTTTTAAATTAATAATTTAAAGGAAAGACTACTAAGAAAAAATAACTTATGTTATGTTGGGTTGGGGTGAGGCAAAAGAAAGGTAAAGGTCAGGTTACCAGATTCTACGTTAGGAAAAGAGAAAGAAATGTTGACACCTAGACAATTAACCCATATGCTATTTTTAATGCATAGGTTAAATGCAATAATTATGGTAAAAAATGGGTTCTTAGCAAAAATCCTTAATGGATGCTAAATCTAAGGGGAAATAATTTCTGATGAGGAACAATATATCTGCATGATCTTAGAGTGTCTTCCCATAGATGACTTATTGCAAGAGGGAACAAAAGCTTAAATATGTGGTAGAGAAATCACACAACACCTTGACCAAGTGATCACAATTAATGTCAGATGGACTTCACATGCCTCCAGATGTGTGACACCTGTGATGCTCTGAAAGAGATACATCACTTGTGTAGCACTTATGTGCACAAAGATAAGGTCCAAAGGATGTTGGTGCAAAATCGTAAGAGAATCTTGAGACCTTGGATAATGATGTGTAGAACTGCCTTATTAGCTCTGGACCATCTTAGAACTCCTGTTATATGGGACAGAAATAAGCTTCTACCTATTTTTTTTCTTTTAAGTTTAAAGAAAACTAAAACCTAACTTAGACACATCAAAGCATCCTGAGCTCTTATTCACTCATCCTGAGTGAATATCCAAAAGCATTTGTAGGATTTTGAAAGATAAAACATATTAGAAAACTCATATATGAACATATGGCATGTTATCACAGTTATTTCATTGTTATAAATGATTTCATTTTATTAAACAAGAAAAATAGCACAAACGAGTAAAGAATTCAAGAATATGAAGGATAATAAAACAAATCTAATGGAATGAATGGAATTAATAAAGTTAAAAGCAGAACATAAATAACTAAAGAAATAGCATAAATCAAAGAACAAGTTCTTGAAGAAAGCAATGAACTTTTATGGCATATATAATCTCAAAAAGAAATTAGAAAACATAAATTCACAAAAGTAGGTTTAAAATATGACATAACCAGGGAAATGGATATGGCTTTCAAAGTATAGGAAAATAAAATATATTACCAATTCTTACAGAAACTATTACAGAATTGTACACAAGTAAAATATGAAGCAAATAGTCACAGAAAAAATGACAAAAGTTACCGAAGAATAATGTTCATAAAAAAGATCTAGGCTCAGATATGGTTTTAAAGACTAGTAATTTCAAAGTATTAAGGGATAAAAAATTCTCATTTTATATAAACTTTTTCCATCACTAAAAATGATGGAAAACTTCACAGTTCATTTTCTGTAATGAGCCTAATCATGAGTCTGAGATCTAACAGAAAGGGCCAAAACATAAAACTTTTAAATTAAGTAACAAACAAATAATAAAGACAAATTTCACATCATCATTTCTCAATACATTTATGATATGTGAATTTTTCTGTATAAATTTTATACTTCAATAAAATGTTAAAATATAAAGATATAAATATTATTGTATACATTCTAAGTTATTAAAGTATAGTCAGTCAAATTTAGCAGTTTATTAAATGAAATAATAATACATCAAGAATAAGTAGGATATAACCTAAAAATCGTATCCTTGCATTATGCTTTCTTAATAAGAACCATAATAATATAATTTATCATACCAAATAAAAAATCACATGCTCAGTTAAACAATTGATGAATATCAATACCTTACACACAAAATCTTGAACTAGAAATAGAAGGAACATTTAACATGGTAAAAAAATATCTAAGGCTATCTTAGCATAAAAGAATGAAATAATAAACATTCCCATTAAAATAATAAAAGAAACAAAGATTTGAACTATTGCCACTATCTTTTCTTGATCCTTGTTTTAAAAAATTCAATCCATGACATAAAACAAAAAGTGTAAGTAAGACGTTTAACAATTGCAAAAAAGGAGATACAGTTACTATTTATAGTTGGTATCATTTGACTGGAGTAGTGAGAAGACTCAACTGGACAATCTTATACAGCTAATAAAATGCCCAGAGACAAAATAAACATGTAAAAAACAATAGCTGCAGTGAAAAATTGATTACTTTCACAAAGAAAACAAAGTATTTAATACCTAGGACTATACTCAACAGAAAAATATGTACAAAATAATTTTACAAGAGAAATATAAGAATTGATATGCACAATATTTTGGGATGAAAATAAATTCTTGCTAAGTAAATTCAAGAATTTAATAAAAAGCCAATTAAAAAAATCTCAAGGTATTTGCTTTTTTGAAATCTGACAAATTGATAATAAAATTTATTTTGAAAAACATAGAGTGGATACTTGCCAGGAATATTTTGAATAAACAAGGACTATTAAAAATAACTTCCTAATCAAATATGAAAATAGACATAAAGAGATAAAAATAAATGCTGTGGTAATGAAGTGATAATAAGCATATCAAAGGAAAGCAATTTAACTCCCAGAAAAAATATGTTTTTATGTAAAAGAAGGCCTTAAAAGGTAACATTTTATACCAATAAATATTAATTGGATCATTGGTTAGTTATATTGGGGGGAAAAAGTCAAAATTTGATGTCTCATACAAAACACTAAAATATTAAATAGGTCAATATTTTTAAACAAAACCTAAGGATAAGATAGTGATCAAAGATAAGATATTTTAACTTCTCTTTTACAAATTCTAACAAAAATGTTTAAAAAATACTTAAAAAATAAATAGGTAAAAAATAAAAATACGTCAGTGTTGGAAACAAGGAAAATGTACCACCATATGCCCCAAATTTTAAGTGTACGTGAGACTAGATTACAGGAATGGTGATAAAATTAGCAATTTCCAGCGAGCAGAGCAAAAGCTGCCCAAGGAGTAAGAGGAGGATACGCCTAAGAAAACCCAGGAACTTCCCTAAGCTTGAAGTAAGAGCTGGATTTAAGGACAGTTTGTGGCACAGCCCCGATACATTTGTAAAACTGTGCATAGCAGGATAATGCCTCAGGATATTGATGGTTATGCTGTTTTCCATCCCCAGGGTATCTGCGGACCCTCTACCCTCTTCCTTTGGTAGCTGAGTGGAATGGATACTCAGTGCCGTGTGTAGGTCCACAGCGAAGTCAAAGATGCCACACTCATGTGGCTTCTGAATTCAGCCCCTGCCATCTCACTGCCACATCCCCACATTCCAAAGCAGACAAAGTGCTCTAGCAAGGGAGAGAAA